ACTCTATCCTGTGCAAACTTTCTGATTCAGTTTCTGCATCTCTGGCCTCTCATCAATGTTCATCATAAGGAAGCAACTGTTGAGTTTCTGCATCTCTAGCCTCTCATCAATGTCCATCATAAGGAAGCAACTGTCCAGTTTCTGCATCTCTGGCCTCTCGTCAATGTTCATCATAAGGAAGCAACTGTCCAGTTTCTGCATCTCTGGCCTCTCATCAATGTTCATCATAAGGAAGCAACTGTCCAGTTTCTGCATCTCTGGCCTCTCATCAATGTCCATCATAAGGAAGCAACTGTCCAGTTTCTGCACCTCTGGCCTCTCATCAATGTTCATCATAAGGAAGCAACTGTTCCGTTTCTAAATCTCTGGCCTCTCATCAATGTTCATTATAAGGAAGCAACTGTTTATTTCTCACTTTATTTTAACTGAGTCACTGTCTTTTAAATTATATATGTCCTTACATTAGGGTGACCATATTTCCTATTTTCACTGGGGCAATCCCATTTATTAAGGTGTGTTCCGGCCATCCTGTTGGTACTCCAAACAAACCACCAATTGTCCTGTTTTATAAAGATCTAGGAATGAGCCTGAGACCAGAACATGCACTGATAGTGATAATATCTGTAGACCTTGTTAGAATTAATAGTTTGGGATACTTTTAATAATAAATTAATAACAAAAATAAATTCTAGAATATTGGAAAGGGGGGGGGGGGGGGGGGGGGGGTTGCTGAGCCAACTTGCTTAGAATGTTTTATTTTGAGCTCAAAATATTAGTAGAAAGTCCCATTTTCAGTTCAAGATATTATGCTCACCCTACCTTACAAAGTACATGTGGCAGTAAAGTAACTTTAAAAATTATTAGATGCACACACATACAACAAAAGCTGCATGTGATGTGCCCGGCCTAACAGTCAGTTTCTTACTGGCATCTTTCTATCTTGTCCACACAGCAGTGCTATACTGTGCTCAAGGAAACAGGGGATTCACACAGTCCCTGGCAATGGCAAGTGTAACCTGCTGATGTTAGAAAGTCTTTCACAATTACAGTCAAAGCCATTGCTTCCAGAGTTAGTTGGATATATTTCAGGACAATTGTTGCCCCTGCATGTTTTTCTTTGATGCTCAGCTCCTAATCTATCCGCAATCATGTTCTCTTTGATCCTGATTCCCTTCTAGACCCCACCCTCCCTCTTCGATGCAACATGGTCTATGATCTGTTTGTCTATACATAACAGAATAATACATCAGAAGTTGTGCATACTCACTATCCTAATATGGGACACAATTGTTTAATTATTTTAAAGCCACGCTTCGGCTGTTTTTGGGGGAGCCCTAATATAACCTAATGGTGAATAGGGTTTCTGGGACTTTTGCTCAGGTGATTTTCATCTGAATGGTGGCACTTTGTGTCACCGGGTGTTTACCGCTCGTTATATGGTCCTGGTGGGGTTCAACTACATTCATACATCAGAAATTGTTAGTAATTTAGCCTGTGACAAAGTGGATTACAAACATATAACCACACTTTGTTATGGAGAATAGTTAAAAAAAAAAAAAAAAAACATGCAGATTATTAGCAGCTAAAAACATATATTTTAAGCAACTATGAAGAGGCTGGCCACCTGGCTCTTATGTGGGAGATCCAAGTTCAAATCCTCTGTAAGGTGATGGCATTTATTTCCTAACCAGCGCTGTTCATGGTGACTGCACTAGCCAGTGAAGCCTCGTCAGGCACAAGATACCATTTTCCTACACTACCATAAAAATGGGCATATACGGGCAGAGAAAAGTTTTTTTTTTTAAATTATTTATTATTTTTATGGCTATATCATTACATTCTAAGACAACATCTGTAAATACTATAACGGAACTGTATTACCATTGCATTTGTCACAACACCCGCAAACACATTATGTCTCAAACCTTAATAAGCACCCTCTCCATACATCTGGCAGCAGAGCAAGTAAAGCTAATTCTGTGCAATCTGGCATTCTAAAGCAGTGAAAAAAAATGAACACACAAACCCATCTGTTGCCACCAGGAGCAGTGACAATACTGTGACTCACATAAAACAGTACACACATCATCTTCCACAATTATCAGTGAGCATTATTTCTTAGTGAAACTAATACCATCACAAAGTATTTACTGTGTAGTTTGGTTCAGCTGTGCTGGGTTGCCATAAAGCATATTTCATTCTGATGAGTTACAGTTAATTATCTCTTATGTGTTCTGGGGCTCTGAGCAATCTCCCAATGTGTGTGCTGGGGTTCTGAGTCATCTCCCCATGTGTGTTCTAGGGCTCTAAGTCATCTCCCCATGTGTGTTCTGGGACTCTGAGTCATCTCCCCATGTGTGAACTGGGGGCTCTGAGTTAATTATCTCCCCAAGTGTGTTCTGGGGCTCTGAGTTATCTCCCCATGTGTGTTCTGGGGCTCTGAGTTAATTATCTCCCCATGTGTGTTCTGGGGCTTAGAGTTAATTATCTCCCCATGTGGGTTCTGGGGCTATGAGTTATCTCCCCATGTGTGTTCTGGGGCTCTGAGTTATTTATCTCCCCATGTGTGTGCTGGGGCTCTGAGTAAATTATCTCCCCATGTGTGTTCTGGGGCTTAGAGTTAATTATCTCCCCAAGTGTGTTCTGGGGCTATGAGTTATCTCCCCATGTGTGTGCTGGGCCTCTGAGTAAATTATCTCCCCATGTGTGTTGTGGGGCTCTGAGTAAATTATCTCCCCATGTGTGTTCTGGGGCTCTAAGTAAATTATCTCCCCATGTGTGTTCTGGGGCTCTGAGTGAATTATCTCCCCATGTGTGTTCTGGGCCTCTGAGTTAATTATCTCCCCATGTGTGTTCTGGGCCTCTGAGTTAATTATCTTCCCATGTGTAAACTAGGGCTTTGAGTTATCTCCCCATGTGTGTTCTAGGGCTCTGAGTCATCTCCCCATGTGTGTGTTCAGGGCCTCTGAGTTAATTATCTCCCCATATGTGTTCTGGGGCTCTGAGTAATCTCCCCATGTGTAAACTGGGGCTCTGAGTAAATTATCTCCCCATGTATGTTCTGTGGCTCCATAGTTAACTCTCTCAGTCACAAGCAGCTGTAACCAGAGTTCTTTACATCCAAAGAAATTTAGCTTAAAATTAATAAAAAACTTTGGTTTCAATGAGTGCAACTGAGACATTATGGGTCACAAATAGTTAAATTGATAAGTCAGATACAAAAGGTTAATATAACGAATTTCTGTAAAAGGAGAGAGTAGGAACAATATGTTATCATTGAAATCACCAAGAAACGTTGGTAAGTTGTTTGGTACTGAAAGAATAAAGAAGGAAGAAAGAAAAGACCCGAGGCTCTCTTACAGGCATGCTGGGAAATGTGACTAATTAATTTGCTGAAATTGTTGAAGATGTGCGCAAGCTGGACATGTATGATACAGGTACTGAGGTGGAGTGACTCGTAGGAACAAATCACCATGGACCATGTTGCCAGAGGGGGCACATCAGGAAGGGAATGAGAATGAAGAAAGAAATGACTGCAGAAAGGACAAGAGCTGAACGTGTGTAAAGAAACAGACTAAACACAAATTATGGCAGAAATGGTCCTGAAATTTGATGCTTTAAGTGTGGAAAACTTTTCTTAACACAGGTGGATTTTTCTAGTCACACTTGCCATCACCATGGGCTGTGAGTCCAATGCCTCCTCATAGAGCAATATAACACTATCGCCTGGAAAGAAGGAAAGGTGACAACAACAAAACTTTGCTGAAATCAGATTTGTTGGGCAGAAAGATGAGGATTTCACAGCCTTGCAGTAAACCACAATACAATCTGCCAACCACCCTTTCAGAGTGAATGCAGAAGTTAGTTAGCAGGGTGACTTGGCTGACAGGCTAATGTATCTGTCAAAACTCAGAAATTACTGAGTTTGAATTCCAAATAGAGCTGAGAGGTTTTACAAGCACCAATAGTTTCTTTTGTAAATCTCTTGGGTAGTGAGACTGGAACCCTTGCCATCTCAAACAATGGCGTAAAACAGCAGATGGTTTTTGTGTTCAAGCTGCACATGTTTGAAATACCATGACAGCTGAAATCATAAAAATGTAGTGTGTAGGAATGCACAAGGAAAAGAGGAAAAATGCAATGGTCATGACACGTAATAAGATCTAGCAGCCTCTTGAAAACAATACTACAGGACTCAATAGAGGGGAAGAGGAAGACCAAGAAAGACCTGGATGCAGAATTTGAATGACTGGACAGGCCTAAGCCATGCAGCATTGAAGTCCATCGCATCTGACCATCATAGGTGGAGGCAGCTGATCAGACAGTCAGCAGCAGCTGGTGATCCAAGGACACGTAGTGTTACGAGACGATAAGGGTGATAAGAATGCTGCCATGGGATTTTGTTTGCAATGAAAAACCAAAACATGGATAGACAGCGCCAACGACTATGGATGGAATTTGTCTGGAAAAACAAAGCAGAAATAAGTGTATGTTGAAACCAGAAACACTGATCTCTGAGCTAGTGAGGTGAACAACTAGCTATACTAAAATCCTCTTGAAAAAGAGAAATGAAGAAGAAGAGTGAGTTACCAGGAGTCTTATATTCTGAAGTGCAGAGTGAAGCAGCAGGTGATGTCAAATGGACTCAAAAGCTGGAGGACAATGGCAATATCACGACAGATTATGTGGGTATATCAGCCACACCTAACTAAGCCACGTGTGCAGGGATATAATATAAATAACCACATAACAACACTTCATACATATGACTTAGAGATAATTCCATATTAGTATTTAGTAAGTGGCAATATGTGTACACTTTTATGAATTAATGATTTGATGATAACTTGGAAAGGTAAATACAAACAACAACCCCAAGTACAAATTACTGGCATACAAAAGGCTAACATGTTTTAATATTAGGTAGGTAGTATTTACTGATAATATCTCATAACTTGTACAATTGAAGATGGTTGAACATTTCCTACAGCGTGTAAAGGCTAGACTATCGCTTTCGCTTCTGGCAGGAAAGCTTCCCAATACTTGATGAGCTGTTGAATAAAAACAGGAAAAGTGAGCATGAACTAAATCTTATGTTGAATTAAGAATTAAGAATCAACATCATAGCACTTGGGATACTCTTACAAGTACTCCATCCCCATCTTCAGCAACAAGCGAAGAGTCCCAATTCCGATGGCCAGTATTTGTCTGATTGCAAACTTATGTTGAATACTGCCATTTAAATAACTTTAAATCATGAGAACACAAACAATACAGGGGTAGGGCAGGGATGTGTGCTCTCTCTCTTCTCTTATTTAAAATATACACAGACATAATAATCAAAATGAGCCAGCTTTAAAGAAGTCGACTCAGAAAACCCAGAAAATGGGAACTTTACTTTCCAGAGGAAGAATTAGATCCACACCATAATAAACAAGCTACTATTTATAATAGATGATTAGTGCCTGTTCTACAATGAGGTAAGTAGACTGCAAGAAAATGTGAATAGGCTACGGACAACAAGCAGAAGATTTAACATGAAGGTAAACATGATTAAAACTAAAATACTTCAGGTCAGTAGAATTTCTAGTCCGTTACAGGTAGGGTTGAATAGTACGTGTGTGAAGAAAGTTAAAAAATGTAAATATCTAGAATTTAAATATCTAGAGAATACGTGAAATAGAAACAAGATTCCAATGAGCCAGTGCACTTACATACCAAATGACAACATTAAACCAAGGACATCCAGTCATAAAATCATAAGTACACCTGCAAAAAAACCCGATTATAAACAGCATATTCATATCAACAATGTGCTAACAGTGCTAAAATTGGAAATTATCTAGTGCTAACCAAAATAAAATTAACAACTCTGAAATAAGATGCCTCAGAAAAGCCGTCAACTTAACCATCCAAGATACAGAAATGATATTATCAGACAGACTGTGGGAACATCACCAAGCAGCAAATGCACTGAGAAACAGAAGCTCAAATGGTTTGGTCATCTAGTAAGAATGCAGACAGAACAACTTCCAGTGCAGGAGCTACACATGAAAAGATCTGATGCGAAAGCAAGAGGTCACTATAGGAGAAGATGGATTTACATTAAAGAAATCTACATTGACAAGAAATGACAATAGCCATTGCTGTCCTTCAAGCAAATGGATAGCAAACTGTTGCTCCCCATGACGCTTAACGGAATAAGTGGAAACTGAAGGTGGCGTTGAAGACAAACAATAATCTCTACAATTTACTGCCTGGCATATTTCACTGTATCTGATCAGGTGCTTTACAATGGACCCTATTTCACAAATTTGAAGTCACCATCATAATCACGTGGCTGATCTTAAACTTCCAGTGGAGAGATGTATAAACTAACTTGACAATGGCAAATGTGATTTTGCATTTTAGCGAAAAGAAGTCATTCTGTGCTTCATTTTAAGCTGATATAGCTCTGTAGTAATGCCTTAGATACAGCGAAATATGCCAGGCAATCGACAATGTATTATTTGCGTCCTCATTATTTAAATTTGCAACAGGAAAACACTTGTTTTGAACTAAATTGTCTGATAAACTTGATGATTAGAAAAGTCATTAATGTCAAATATCAGTAACTTTGACCTAATTAGCTGGTGTTCGTGACTTAGGGGTTGTGAACACTGTAATTCCGAGACTACCTAGTTCGGCTCAGTTCCGGTGATTTGGCAGCAGATTGCTTTGTGTTGATTTTGACAACAGTGTGGAAAGACAACAAATAAGAAAACAAATTAACATTGCCTAGTAAAACCATAAACAGTAAACAAATGCTCAGGGAGAACATTCTTCACAGCACTTGGGACATTTCAAAAAGCACTCCATACCCATCTTCAGCAGCCAGCGCAGATACAGGGCAGATTGTATTTTATTTTATTATATGAATCAACATATCTTAACTCTTTGAGTCCCAAGAAACCCATCATACTTCATAGGTTCCTACCTAGAGGACCAATGAACGCATGATGCGCCGATTTTACATCTCTCTTAGGCCTCTGATGCTAAACTCCCTAGGACACAAAGAGTTACTGGCATATAAAATGTTTCTAGAACTTTCTCTCTGTAAGTTACCAATGCAGTTCAAACTTTTACCTTTTCTTGATTGTCCATGAGAACCTGCAGGTATTTTATGACACTGTCCTTGAAGTCACTGACCCGCAGCTTCTCAAATCGAGCCACTTCCTTTTTGATGTTCCGAGATATTTTCTCAAAGTCTTCTTGCCCCTTCTCAACCTTCTGCTCCCACTGCAAATGAAAAAAAAATGATTTTACAGCAATGAAATAAAATATACATGTGTTTCAATACACCACTGAAAATCTAACACACACGCAGTCTTCTTCTTCTTCACTTCCTCTGTTACCACTTCAGATGGTGAGAAAGATATAAGGTAATAAGATAAAAGGATGGTAAGGGATTGCTAGGATTTTGTTAAATAGGTGCTGTCATGCCAGTAGGGTATCCATGAAGGCCATCTTGGGTCACAGTGGACTGTCATCGTCAAAGGGCTCTGGTGAATGAGCGACAAGCCCAACAAGCTGTTGATAACTTCATTATTTCTACAAAGAATACAATAGAAAATAAACAGCCTAATCAAACAGGCATTAACACTTCTGCTGGGTAAACAGGGGGTCCTTGAGCCTGAGGTTTTAGGGCCGCATGGCTAGTGTTGTCACCAGAGACTTTTCAGGTTAGAGTTTTATTTTTGCCCCCGACTGAAAAAAAAAAAAAGCCTAGAGATTTTGAATCGGGGTCTCCTGCAGGAGAAACTTGCGCTCATAACAGTCAGAGTAAACAGTCAGTCAGTGGGTAATATTAAATGCATGTTGCACAGAGTGTGCCTATGTAGCGTGCATATGTCTAATTTCTGTACATTACAGCATTGTGATGTACACTGCACCTGTACATGCTAAGTGTGCATCATGGATCTGTAGTGTGGACAATGACTGTGGTGTGCAACAAACTTGTGGCATATGCACTGTGTGATGTCTTCGCCCCATTGTAATGAGCTGCAACATTCAGAAACCACCCTACTAAGGCAAGTAAAATCACATTAGGTCAAGATAGGGGGAATTATAGCCAACTTTACATGGGAACAATCAGTACAGGTACCTAGGGGTGGCTGCTGCATCAGAAGACTGAGCATGCATGTGTACGCCCAATGTGCAGTGACATCGATTGTGTAAACATAGCATGACATTACATTAATTAAACTATGCAATCTTATATTTCCTCAAAATCAGAAATGGCAAAAGATGAAGTGAAGAAGAAGAAACTATACAAGAAAGGAGACAAATGACTTAGTAGCCATTACTCCTTAGCACTTTCCCATTCCTACTACCATATAATATCTGCTGTTATAAGTATCACGCCGATCACCCTTATTTTCCAGGAAATTTCCTGGTATGTGCTAAAAAGTAAGTAAAATACCTGTTTCCATCCCTGGAGGCAAACTGGCATATCATGTCACCCCAAAATGCTTACAGACCACTGGCCACTTGACGGGTGATTTGGTTAATATTATGCTGGCCATTTCTTCTTCCAGGAACATTTTCTGAAATCCATTATTATGCCCGCCACCTTTATTTCTCAGGATATTCTTCTTCTTATAGTCCATGCTGTGTACTTTCAATCAACTCTGATACAGATGCTCTTCAATGCCATGATGTCAAGCTGTCCCGCATCTTCTCTCTGAGTCTCCCTCTGCCTTTTTTCCCGCTCTAACTTTTCCACCATCAAGACGGACTCAAGTTTTCTCCTTCTCATGACATGACCAAAGAATGTAAATGGTCTACTTCTGGTGTGGTAAATCCATTCTCTTTGCAAGTCCATTTTTTTTTCAAGACACATTCATTATTCTTTTATTTGTCCTGGGTATTTTCATCATTCATCTACAAAACCATATCTCCACTGCTTCCAAATAATTTTTCACAAACTGTCCGACTGTCCCTGATTCACTTCCAAATATCAGGTGGGGGCTGCGTGGTCTCAAAGCATGGTGTCCCGCCTTGAGTGCTAGAGATTCTGGGTTCAATCCCCGATAAGGGCTGGGATTTTTTCACATGGACGTACTTCTAGTAATTCTCCCTGGTCTCTGGGTAGTGAGATCGGACCCCCGTGTGCGCACGTAAAAATCTCTTGGCAGTTGGAAATCTAAAAGAGAAGCCTAACTGTGCTGCCCGGGCAAAATTTGGAGTTAAAAATCTACCCAAAGTATTTCAGGATCCTCGCCGGTGCTACAGACCCTGAGCACTGTGCTGAGCTTCTTCTGACTCAGACTTGAGTTAGAAGAAGAACAGAGCACTTATGGGTTACTACCCATGTGTCATGATGTTGATGTGATGTTCAAATCTCAAACAAATACACCAGGACTGGATTTATATAAATCTTGAGTTCTCTTTGTCATCTTAACTATAAAAGAAAAACTGCACAGAATATTCACAAAACATTATTTGCTGAGTAGGTTCACCAGGAAGGCCAGGTTGAATTTTAGAAATCTGCCTATATGACAACTGGGGCAAAAAGCAAGCGGCGTGGCTTCTGTAGCTCTATATACTATGTACAAACCACAAGTAAAGAAGTTTATTAACATTCACAAATATCCCAACCTCTGTTATTTCTGCCTGAGCTTGTGAAATTTTATCCATCTTGTTCTGCATTTCCAGCTTTGTTTTGTTCTCACGTTTCTTTCCTAATGTAGTTTCCGCATCCTTCCACATTTTATAGGTCTTAATTCGCTCCTGGAAAACATCCTGGATAAAGAGACAGCATTGCAGGTTATTTTTTAAAAAAAAACAGAAAACTTTCAGCTGACCTGAGGACCAGAAACAACAATTGTCAGGTCCTCAGGTGAGCATCTAACCGCTAAACTATGGCAGCCCCCAAATATTACAAACCAAATCATAATCAGGCGAGGCAAATAGTTTCCTACTTCATCATTTGTCCTTTCCAAACAATTCTCAGAAAACTGACTGGTACCCAATGTTAGACGTTAGGTCAGCCCAGAGCTACAATGGACGGAAACGATATTTCTGCCAGTGCTTGGGAATCAAATTTGGATCACCATGTTAGCAAGTACACTAATCACTTTGGCTCTACACACTTGGCTCTGAACTCTAGTCACCACAAACAATGGCAGGAAAGCTATTCACTCATATACAATGGCAGGTGAGCTACTGGCATTTCCCTTTAGTCTTCTCTTTCTTTTCCTTCTCTCTGCCAGTGGTTTGCAGATGAGAAAGCTATAGGCTTCTATGAAGTCTGTGGTGCGAGGCATATCTTCCGCTGATTCATACAGCTTGGTTTCCATTGGAATGTCAGCCAAACTGGGATCTCTCTTCTATGAGGGGAAGTCAATAAATCAGTCATAAATGGTTATGGGATGGAGGGAAAATGTAGCTGGTGGTTTCTAAAGGTGTCATTGGGTGACAGCAACATCACACTTTAGGTCTCCGTTCCCTAGAGGTGGCGCTAGGTGTTGCACACGCACTCGCAACACAGAAACAAAATGGCGACTGTACTTATGGAATGTACCCCTAAAGAACAACACACTGTTGTACTATTGGGGGGGGGGGGAAGGCGGGGGAGGCCTGATTGCAAAGGAAATTCATGAGGAAATGCTTCCTGTTTATGGTGACATATGTTTATCCCGTAAAGCAGTGCATAGCTGGGTAAAGAACATTTATTTCCCAAGGACACTTTAAAATTGTTGACGAAGTCCCATCTGGTCGTCCTGCAGAGACTGCAACAATCTGTGCAGTGGGTGGAGGAGATGATTAGAGCTGACAATTGAGTAATGGTTGACTCTGTAGCAGCTGCAATAGGGTGCTCACATGGTCCAGCATACAACATAATTTGCAGGAGAAATTTCACGAATGATGCAGAAGTTGAATGTGAAGTGAAAATTTTGTTTAGAAAACAGACCACATAGTTCTATGCAGCAGGTTTGGGAGGAATGATGAAATTATGGGACAAGTGCATCAATGTTGATGGAAATTACGTTGAGAAATAAAGGCAAAGTGTATGTGTAAAATAAATGGTTTTCAAGTTGTTATCTTTTTAGTGTTTTTTTTTTAAACAACCATTTGTGACTTCTTCTCTTATATTTAGAGAGCATGTTTGTAATACATGTTCAGTATTCTCTGGTGGCTGTCCACGTGAGCAAAGTTCTGAATCCCTAATCTACAATTTCTTGTACAAACGTCTGCAGAGTCTGTTGTATCCAGTACACAATCTAAATATAATGCTTGCCTCATCTGACTTCAGTGTCAAAGTATGTGAAACAGGCAGCATTATATTTATATACATACCTCAGTGTCCTAGATCCTTTCGGGTCGGCACTGGGCTAATAAGTCACCTCCAAGCAGATAATCAACTATAGTTTAATGACAGATGAAAAAAAGAGTCATCTTCATCAACTGTAGATGGACAAACAACATCGTCACGGATACAAACCTTGACAGCTCCCATCAATGCAACATAGTCTTTCATCAGTTCAGCCATGATATAGAAGTCAGCGTCAGACTGATCTTTGTGTAACACTTCAATTTTCTCCTCGGTCTCTGCCAGCTGGGACAAGGCTCGGGACAGCGCAGTGTGCTCTTCAACATTCCCCAACATGGCTGCACTTTTAGCAAAAGCAGCTGTGTTCAGGCTAAGTTCTGAAAGACAAATGTTCAGACTTTTGAACACCCTTTTTTTTTTCCAGTAATAATTTACTAATTTAAGAATTTTAGCAATCCCAATCCCAATCAGCACAAAGAGACATCCTATTCAAAGCATATTTATTCCAACTCTGTGCTACCAGTGCCAGACATGGTCACTCACAACAAACCATAAAAGAAAATTAGTAACCACGGAAATGAGATGTCTGAGAAGGACTGTAGGAGTGACCATAAGAGATAAGATCAGGAATGAGATCATAAGAGAACAAGTCGGCACAGAACCAATTCTGGATTGCATACAAAGACAGCAAGTGAAATGGTTTGCCCACTTAGAAAGAATGCCTTGTGACACCATACCATACAAAGCATACATGGAAAGAGAAGAAGGACGTAGAGCACGGGCTGGACCAAGAACAAGATGGAAGGATAACATCAGAGAAACTCTACAACAGCACGATGTGCCTATGATCGAGGCAGCCAGAAGAGCTAGAAACAGAACCTTATATCTCCCTCGACACCCACAGCGGTAAAAGAGGAAGGGGAAGAAGAAGAAGAAGAAGAAGAAGAAGAAGAATGTAAGCACATCAGGCCCATTCACAGATACTCCCATCTCCCACTGCGAATATCATAAGGTGTAGATGCTCAAATTTTCCAGTAGCATCTACTTGTACACACATCATACCCTTCATTTATTCTTGCTAAATCCACCCCTAGACACATCATACCCTTCATTTATTCTTGCTAAATCCACCCCTAGACACATCATACCCTTCATTTATTCTTGCTAAATCCACCCCTAGACACATCATACCCTTCATTTATTCTTGCTAAATCCACCCCTAGACACATCATACCCTTCATTTATTCTTGCTAAATCCACCCCTAGAAACATCATACCCTTCATTTATTCTTGCTAAATCCACCCCTAGACACATCATACCCTTCATTTATTCTTGCTAAATCCACCCCTAGACACATCATACCCTTCATTTATTCTTGCTAAATCCACCCCTAGACACAACATACCCTTCATTTATTCTTGCTAAATCCACCCCTAGACACATCATACCCTTCATTTATTCTTGCTAAATCCACCCCTAGACACATCATACCCTTCATTCATTTTTGCTGAATCCACTCCTAGCTCACAAACTTACACATGTTGATTCCAAATTCACACAGCTTTACTCATGCTGTTTCATCTAAGATTATATCATTCATCAGCACTCATTCATATATGGTATTCACAGTGTTTGCTTTAACCATTATGAATGTTCCAACAGATGTCATATTTGTAGCTACAAATTTGAACATTTATTATCCTTTTTAAAGTTAGCTTGCCCTTAGTCTATCCAGATGCCGTATCTCTGCAGAACACTAAAAAACTTGCATTGTGTCATTGATACTTGAAAGTTTGGCCCTCCTTGAAGTGAAAGTAGCCTTGATTCTGTTTCTTCTCTTTCATTCATTCGGGTGATGTAATTGTATTGTGCTTGTTCACAGCATAGATGTGATATTTGAGCCTTCTGGGAAAAACATCCAATTTCATCAGGCATTTGTTCACCGGATTAGTTCTCGGTTAGTTTCAAGCCTTATTCATGCATTGTCCTCTTTGTCCCTTTATTTACATGCAGATCAAGAGCATAACCCGCCGTCCAAGGGGGCTTCCATAAATGCAGAGCTGACATATAGCAATCTGGTCCTAGTCACCCAAGTAATCATCACTTCCTGCATATGACTGCTCAGCCTCACATCCGTATGTTCAGCTTCCCCCTCATCATAGGCTACACCCTCTGGAGATCAACAGGGAGCAGCCCATAGGTCCAGGACTTCGATGACCAGACAAATAGGCACAATCTTTTTCAGCATGTTAGACACTTTTACTTTAATGCACTGGGACACTTTTAGAACAGTACAGGAGAAGCAAGCATCAGGTACAGCTTCACCAATTGGTCCAGACACTCTGACTAGTGAGGCAAATGGTAGTGGACATTTGAACCTTTCTGTCAAACAGTAGGATAATTTATGGTTAAACATCTGAACCTTGTCTGTCAAACAGTAGGATAATTTATGGTTAGACGTCTGAACCTTGTCTGTCAAACAGTAGGATAATTTATGGTTAGACATCTGAACCTTGTCTGTCAAACAGTAGGATAATTTATGGTTAGACGTCTGAACCTTGTCTGTCAAACAGTAGGATAATTTATGGTTAGACATCTGAACCTTGTCTGTCAAACAGTAGGATAATTTATGGTTAGACGTCTGAACCTTGTCTGTCAAACAGTAGGATAATTTATGGTTAGACGTCTGAACCTTGTCTGTCAAACAGTAGGATAATTTATGGTTAGACATCTGAACCTTGTCTGTCAAACAGTAGGATAATTTATGGTTAGACATCTGAACCTTGTCTGTCAAACAGTAGGATAATTTATGGTTAGACGTCTGAACCTTGTCTGTCAAACAGTAGGATAATTTATGGTTAGACATCTGAACCTTGTCTGTCAAACAGTAGGATAATTTATGGTTAGACATCTGAACCTTGTCTGTCAAACAGCAGGACATTTGATGGCTAGACTTTTGGAGATGTCCAAGATATAACAAACAGAGTCAATTGTTTTCAAAAATACAACATTAACCACCTTTCTTTATGTTGCAGCTTATTTGCTAAACATCACTCATATCATGGTCTGCCTAAAAGAAACTCAAGTCTCTCGCCAGATCTCCCGCCTCATGCATTTTTCTACCCAAGGGGTCGCTTTTATCCTGTGCCCATCTTTATGCCAATCAGCCCTTGTCTCTCTTTCTAGGTACCATGCCTTCTGTTATTATTTTTCCAATCCGCCGTAGTGCTGAATATGGCCACAATATTTCAGTTTCTGAGATAAGATAGTGTTTAATCACCAATCTTCTTTGATGCTCAGATCTCGAAGAGTGCCAATACTTCTTTTCTTCTTTGTCCAAGGTATTCTGAGAATCTTTCTCTAGCACTTCAGTTCAAAAGCCCTATTTTCTTTTCAAGGACGTTAATTAAGCTGGATATTAAGCAGTCTGGTCAGGTGCCACTAGTTTAAACCAAAAGATATAATCAGTACTGCATCACATGCTGCTAGATTAACAAAGACAATAAATAATCTCATATTCTGTGTTGCTTGCGATACCAAAAATGTTCAGGAAGAAGAAAATCAACATAGAAATAAAAACTTCTTCTTCATATTCCTTTTTTTCCCTCACCCTCCTATTCTTAAAGACAACACAAAAACTGAGTTTAATTCTGAGACCAACCTTTACGATGCTGTGAAAGAGTCTCAATACTGGAATGTAACTTCCGCAGTTGAAGATCCAAAGCTTCAACTTGCTGCTGTTTTTCTTCAAACCACTGAAATTATAATTATTAACACATGAGTAATACTGAAAGTTCTTATTAGTTAAACTTAAATATGCCATGTGCAATCACTGATTCATTAATGGTATAGTCTTTCTGTATGCACATAGAGCTGTAAAAGTTACATGTGCCCTGTTGATAAGCATGAGCAGTCACATTTCCTCATCTCACACAATCACTGATCATGTTAGTGCTTGTCTCACCACATATACATGGCCAAGCCACCAGTTATTCATCTCGTTGCCACCCCTTGCTCTTTTTCCACCAATTTTGCCAGTTGTAACCAAGTTCATGAGTTCATTCCTTCTCATAACATGCCCCCAAAAATACCAACTGTCCACATCTCATTTCTCTGACCAGTTCATGGGGTTCATCTGTATTAAAGAAGACTGCCTGTCTATCAGAAGATACAGTGGTACACAATGGCACTGAGGAAAGAAGAGCACTTTGAAGCTCAATGAGCTAGACAAACTTGTGCTTTCAGCAAAGTGCTGTCATCACTCAGAGATTACCCATGTTGAGTTCTGAGGCCCCAAATTCAGGGGTTTTAAAAAAGGACAGACCCACTGCCACTGAGCAAGCATGTTGTAAAAAGTGACCATTTAAAGACGTCACTGAAATTAGATGTATTAAGCCAAAAGGTGCATATATCATAGCCTAGCAGCATAAAACCACATGCCAGCTGTCAATCTTAAGGGTGAATGCACAATAAGAAATAAGATTTACAATGTGATGTATTTCAGTCACAGTGTTCCTATAACTTTCCATTTTTATTTTATCTAGAGTGCCCCTATAGATTTATTGACTATCTTTATCAGAACAGAGGACCTTGTCATAATGACTACAGTTAATTACTTTTAAGCATTTCTCTTCTCGCTACAACAGTGTAAACACTGTTATAACATCACAGGCCCGGCTCTCTAGCGGAATTGGCTAAACCGGATTTCGCGGAGACCGGGTGACGTACTCCTTGTGGTCCGGGTTCAATCCCGGGGGTAGGCAGGAAAGCCACATTTTCTCCCAGATTTACGGTATTTACAATGGAATCAAGGCCGAAAGGTTGCAATATCCATAATACCGAGCCTAAGGGTTAACAACTCAAGGCTTCTGGATACTAAAACAAACAATATAACATCACAGACAATCCCATGTTCTGATTTCTAAGAACTACAGTTTGCAAGACCACACTGAACAAGAAATTAATCCAGCGAACTCTGATAAAGAAGCTTAATGAAGAAAGCTGGGAAAGGAAACAATCTATGCACACAAGAAAAATTGAACGTTTCAGCCAGAGCCTTGCTTAACACAGACCACAACAACAGCAACAAGGAGCCGAGTTTTGTTGCTGTTGTTTTGGTCTGTGTTGAGAAAGGCTCTGGCTGAAATGTCCAATTCATCTTGTGTGTGTATCTTCCCTCTTCCCTCCACCCCATTCCTCTACCCCATTCCTCCACCCCATTTCCCCTTCATTAAGCTTCTCAGTCACAGTTCAGTAGATTAATTTCTTGACATTAGCTTGAGAGCAGTCACCCCTGCTTTCATCACATTGAGCTAGAGCAGTTTTTTGAACACATGATAATAAAAAATCAGCAATTTGTATGGTACTCTAGCTAATCATCGAACACAACATTTAAAATAAATGACAAGTAAATCAAACATAATCAAGCTACAGACAGTAACAGAATAATAACATATACTTGTATTGATTGAATTCAGTTTTAAAAAATTATGCATAATTAAAAACCGTTTAAACATAATACACATATTTGTTCTTCTCTTCCTTAAAATATTCAGAAAGTTTTCCATGCATTTATGTTAAAAGGCTGTAAATGTTTCTTTCCCTTTTGCCATGATTTTGAAAAAAATAAAAAAAGTTTCCGCAGTGAAAATATAGACATAATTAATGAAATAACAATTTGGGCTTAAATTCTCTACCGAAAAGTAATTAATGGATGATGGAGTTCAACATTTTATCTTCCTGAATATATCTGGAACACATAAAAAGGTTCCATCAGCCTAATCGTCATGCTCTCCCTTATGATAATGACACAAATAAATCATTAACTACAAACATATTATGTCTTCCCAGTCGACATCAATGCTCGCTGGGAATTCCAATGCATGCTCAATCCTCTGATGCAGCAGCCACTCCAAGGCACCTCTATTCACCCATCCCATGATAGGTTGGTTATATCGCCTGAGTCCTATCTTGACCTCAGAGACAGCATAGACATACTTCACAATCATGTAACACTCAGTATAGCCTAAGTTTAACCTGTTGTCCCATAGATGTTGGTTGATATCTAGGCTTGTCAAGTCTTTTTTTTTTTAATGGCAACAGGTCTTTGGGCAGTTGTAACTATGCCTGTACAACAGCTCTGATGCTGGTCGCAACTGCATAGAGTGCTAACATGATGGGTCTGATCACACTTACAACCCCCCACCCTCCTTCCCCAAAAAGAAATTTGTTCAAGTATTATTTGAAGTTAAAGAATGAATGTCTGAAAACTGTGTCACCGTGATGTTTTAATTTAAGAATTGTGTCACATTTCAAGATAGTCAAAATTAAGGAATTCTTTGCTCTATTTTATTTAGTGATTATGCCTGTTACATGGAAATAACCCTTTTCCCAATTTAGACATTTAGTGAGCAAGGAGATATTGCTTTTAAATTTGTTTAGCGATGTGACATCATCAGAGAAGCATAGGTCTTCATACCTGCCAGTCTGCTGGGTACAGGTGTGATTTTCTGGATTTGCTTAACTACCCAAGTCCAAATTTCTTTTGCTTCTTCTTCATTTTGTTTCTTAATATAGTTTTATAGAATTATGAGGATACATTTTTTTCTTTAAAAAAATTGACCTCAACATTTTTTTTAAAGATTTTTTTTACTGGCTGATAGGGTTAAAGTATTACAGAAAAATATCTGTCTTCTTCTGTCATTTGCCTGAAATAAGTTGTCTATATCAGCAATTCAAACTCTCGTATAAATTTAACTGTATTTTTTTAGTTCATTTAGTGGTCCATAGAGTTTATGTTCCAGTGCTGTTCTTTCTGGCCAAAAAGTTTGCCTTAATGTGTCATATTCGGTGCAATCCTGGAGTACATGTTCTGCTGTCTGGGGCGTATTTCCACAGGTGTACATGGCTGATATCTTGCATTTTGTGTACATGTGGTTGTGTAATTGGTTGTGCCCTGTTCTGAGGTGAAGAATAATGATTTGTTCTTTTCTGTCCATAACAGATTAGTCATCTTGTGCTGGGGCTGGTGGTTGTTGGTTGATTTAATGATTCTTTTCTTTTTGTGGTATGTAACTGGTACATCCTGCTGCTCTTTAATCAAACCTTTCCCTGCCAACTGATCAGCTCTCTCCTTTCCAGGCACTCTACAATGGGACAGTATTCACTGCATTTCAACTCTTTACTGACAGCTGAGCTGTGTCAATAGTGTTTGCAATTCTGGTAGTTTCCTAGACTGGAGTGCTTCAGGTACGGATTTTGCATCTGTCAGCATTACCACAGACTGTAAGCCAAGGTTGGTATTTAGCAGAGAAAAATATTCAATTTGCAACATAATGATAACTTTACAGCTACACATAAATATTTTGTCTCCTTCTTTAGCCTCAGAATGGACAGTATAGACAGATGGTAGGTGACAACCACAGGCTTACAGTCTTTATCACTGCTTGTGTGTAAAACAATAATACAGGTTATGACAAACATGCATAATCAAGGCAGCAAACAACAACTGGCATGCAAACTAACATGTGTATAGTCAATAGTATGTGAATCACTTCACGGGTAAATCACACATCAAGGAAACCCTGAAAATTCACAACACGAGAAAAATGCATGCTGGTTATACGAGATGGCTGAAAGGTTGTACACTTGAATATGAAGGCAACAGGGCATGTGCCTGGATACTGGTGTGAACTTTAGCCCCTCCCTCTCTTCTAGGTGATGCAATTCTCCTGCCTCTTCTTCATTTTTATGAGGCCCTGATTGTAAGTCAGATGCCCTAAATACTATTAGCTATAGCTGGTCTACAAATCCTTGTAGCTGATAACTTTTTCTAGGTTTGTACATAATAGGGTTGCTAGCACATTGTGTTGTGGTTTACAGCTTAGCCTAAATATCTACAGCTTTGGCTCCATATGATTTCACAAAGCCCTTACTTAGTCACCTTTTACCATAAGCTTGTTAAGGATCAACCAATGTACAAGAGATACAGCATGTAGAGCCATGCGCTTCCTTCTCTCGATTTTACAACCATGGAGGACAGAATTCAAATTTGCAGAGCAGGGGCTTACCTCAGAGTAATCACAGATACACAACACTTGCTGCATGGTGAAATTCAGAAGAAGAAAGGCAACAGGTTAAAAAGAGGAAAATCCTAGGACAAGGACATTTTTCAGCAGGTGTGTTCACCAGAGTAGAACCTGGTGAGGAATTGGTACAAATACCAAAGGAATGCTGTATGACCTTTTCTGTTTGCATACGACTAGACAGAAAATGCAGACAAGAAAGTCCAGCTGCTGTTGACGCAGAAGTGCAGGCTTTGATTTTTGAGAATTATCTTCAGGGGGATGCTGTCATATACACAGATGTGTCTGTAATTTGCCATGTGAGGAGCTCTTGGGCTTTTACCGCTCAGATTGGAGTCAGAACTGTGAAGCAAGATTCTGGTGCTGTTGCCTTGACCATAAGTAGTCTTAACTATGGAGGTCATGGCATTCACTAAAGCAATAACATGGCTGGAGACCCAGACCTTTTCCTGGGCATTCTTTCTCAGTGACTCAATGAGTATGCTCATGTAGACAGAAAAGGGCTGGGTCCGAAGACAGTGCTTGGAGTCTCCAGAGCAGTCGAGTTTGACACATATCAGTTTCGTATTTGTGCCAGGACACCCAGGTGTGCAAGGAAACGAGGACGCTGATCGGCTTGCAGGTGAAGATACCATAAAGGCCAGGCGAGCAATGGACCATGCCAATATTCT